TGTGTAAGGCATCCAGCTCAGGGCATGTCCCTGTTGTTGTTATTAAGTGCTGTCGAGTCTATTTTGACTCATAGTGACCCTGTATAGGATTTCTCAGGAACAGCTGGTAGGATTGAACAACTGACCTTGTGGTTAGCAGTCCAGTGCTGAGCCTACAGCACCACACCAGGACTACAGCATTGTCCTTAGTGGGTGCTAAATAAATGTCCCCATTATGACACCAGACTCTGGTTTTCTCTCAGAAACCTGGTCACATAGGAATAGGAATCTTTTCCTCAGGTTAACACTTTGGGAAAATGAGGTAGGTGATATGTGAGGCATTCATGAGTGTTCCTTTTATTTCTTTAAAATGTCATTTCAAAATAGTTTTATTTTAGGAAACGTTTCCCAAGGAACTCCTCCTGTTTTCTGAAGACATCAGACACATTTACTACCAAAGTCTGGTACTTAATTACACACTGTCATGTAGCTCCTTAAATTCTGAAGGTGTTTGTCTTCATGGCCAGGCCATGGCAGGTCCCACCTTTGAGGTAGCACAATGCCCTTCACTGTTCTGAGTATGAAACAGGTGCCTAACAAGTATGTATTTGTTGGGTTGAATTGAAAGGTGACTAGTGAGCTCCAAAATTCGTCACCGCATGGTGCGCAATGTTTTCCCGACCTTTACAAGAGTGGGTTGACGTGGAGCTGATGTCATACCGACAATGAGACTGATGGGTGAAGTCCTTCTCTGACTTGCCAGTACTCAGGTAGGGCTGGATGAGAGAGGATATGAGGGGTGCCCAGCTCCCACACCAGAGCTGCACAACAGATGAAAAGCAAATGCTTCAGGCAGACTAACTCAAGAATAGAATGGCTTTTGGCCTTTATTTAAACTTGTCAATTTCAGGAGTGCAGTTTCCAGTACCCAAGGAGTCGTGACTGTCCCCTTTGTGTCTCGTGGTCTCTCTGTGGTGAATGGGGGTGACAGAGGTAGCGGGGCTAATGAGGAGTGTGGCTGGGGATCTCAGGATGAGAACCTGCAGACCAGGAAGTCTACAGTGCTCGACTCATTGGAGGTTCTTCCTTGTATCAACGTCTCAAAGCAGTCCATATCATCACCACACCAACTCCAACCGCAACACCGATTCCAAATGTCAATGGCAGAGCCCAGTTGAGCACATTGGAGTGTTGTTTAGCCTGGACTGGAAGTGACTGACTATTCCTCAGGGTATAAAAGTAAGGATGGTCCTGTGGAGGAGGAGAGGGAGAGTCAGGGAAAGTCAGGGGGGAAGGGCTCTGAAAACCATCTGTCACCTACCTCAGGCTTGTTTAGTCCTCACCTCTGAGAGAGTATAAAAGACTCACATATTTTCACAGCTCTTCCCATGTGGAAGAATCTTCCGTTTGTACTGTGCCCAAATCTTCTGAGTAAGAATGGATATCCTACAGAGGCAGCACTCTGCCTTTTGTTCCTTACCAGCATCTCATTTCCTATCTACCTAATTTTCAAAGATTGTATTCCGTACCATACAGGATATCCATGGAAGAGAGGCCTGGGAAGCCAGCTAGAGCCCTCACCTCTGTTTCTCCTGTCACCCCTGGACAACTACTGTCATCTCAGGAGCACCCTGGGATCAGGCAAGGTAGACATGGAAGGACAGCTGGCTCTGGAGTAGATTAGAGGACCTATAGTGAGAAGGGCTGGGAGAGGAGGCATGGCTTCTTTTCTTCCTCCCACCTCTCTAATTTTCTTACTCTTGGAGAACAATAATCAAGTACCTGCTATATTGAACCTTGTGATCAGAGCAATGGTGAGTATTTGAAGGCTAATCCAGAATATTCCTCATTGTTCAGTAGAGACATGAGCAGAAACAATCACATCTTAAAGGTGGAAGAACCAATGTCTTATGAGAGGTACAAACAGAAAAGAGAAATCAACACAGGTGTGTGTCTAGAGTGGCTCTCAGAGAGAGAAACATCTGGGCCTTGAAGAATGTCAGCATTTTCTATAGGCAGAGATGGAGGATGGCCCTCCAAGAGGAGATAATGGTAGTAGTCAGAGCAAGATACAGATACTCGTGGGGCTTGTCGGGAAAGTTGTTCTATTTATCAGGAACAGAGAGTGTGCAAAAGGCAAGTGGGTGAGGTGAGCCTTCTCTCTGGACTATGCTCTCAGTAGGGAGTGGGGACCAAGGAAAGGGTCCAAGCAGCTGTGGAGAAGATTGGAGTTACTTTCTAGCAGCAAGCATAGGACGAATGGAAAAGGGACAGGGGAAAACAAACTGGGGAGATGAGTTATGAGCAGACAAGTGTGGCAGTGTGGTGAGAAGGAAGAGGATCGTAAGGTCTGAGAACAGACATGGTGTTTTATTTATTTTTGCCTCCCAATCCTTAGTTCCTAGTATGGTGGGTGGTATGAGAAAGCTACATCAAACGTGTTTAAGGTGAGAATGTGTCAGATCCCTAAGAAGTGATGGTGACTCAAGATATTTGATCAGTGCTTGTTAGTCAGTCCCCCATGAGTGGTTCTTCTCACTTCAGATAGACCAGTTGGATTCTCCCTCTCCTCACTCCATGGCTGCCCGCACCCTGAGGAACAGTGACATTTCGGTGGCAGGGAAGAGAGGTGAGATTTGAGAATGATGGCCAAGAATGAAGATGTCCACTGACAAAGCCTTCCAGAGGACTCCTCTGTGTGTCCACGTGGTGACATCCCCACCCCTATGCCCAGGGAACAGATGAGGCAGGCAGAGCTATTACTCACAGGAGAGGGGCACTTGAGTTTGGTTCGGCTGTAGGTGAAGTTGTTGAAGGTTGTCTTCTGGCCTACTGGTTCCAGCTGAAGAGAGAAAAAGGAGAGCACGATTTATCTTTAAAGCTGGGAGAGACTTCCCTGACAGAGGAGGTATCACACACAGTTTAGAAGGATAGGTTGAAGCCAGTAGAGTTGGCAGTACCTGTGACAGACCCAGGCTGGAGCTAGGCATTGGACTCACGGATTCACAAGTCAGAGTTCATCGGATCATGGTGGGACTCTGAGTCTAACCCTTTGGGCTGATCAACAAGGAAAGTGAGGCCCAGAAAGAGATTAGTTCAGACTTCAGAGCTAGTACATGGCAGGGCTGAAACTGGAGCCTCCAACTCCTGGCTTCTCTCTCGTGGATGGCTGTGATGGCAGACACTCTTTATTTTCAATATTATTAAATGGTGATGCTCAAATTTATGCATGTATGGGGGTAATCACTTGATTTTTTTTTTTTTTAAGGTTTTTATAGTGAATTGAGTGAGAGTTTACAGGGCAGATCATCAGTTTTGCATTCAACAAATCATACAATAATTATAATCTCCTCCATGTACCATCAGTATTTCTCTCTACTCACTTTAACTTTTTTTTTTTTTTTTAACACTCAGGTATATATAATAATTGACCAAAGGGCACATTCTGCAAGTCTGCCTCCTGGCCACCATCTCTCAATCCCTCTCTTTCCATGAATCTAGAGTCCTCAGCTGCTCCCTCTTTCCATGTCCCCATCTCTGCTTCCATCTCTGGTATCACTGTTTCTCTGGATAATGTCCCGCATTCCATTTGTGCTCTTCTCCCTGGATGGTATTAGGTCCTCTGTTTCTGGACTGTAAGATTAATTACTTCCCCATTTTTTGGTTACAAAACTACTACCTTTACAATTGTGACAGTTGCAATTAGTCATGATAACAGTTACTCACTATCGAATTATAAGAATCTTATCCCCATGTCTTTTAACTAGACCCATCTAGACGAGATGAAAACTTTTCAGTGGGGATTTTCTTTCCCCACACACTATTAAACTAAACTCCCCCTTGAAACCTTGTAAGCCATTCACTTTGTGCCTTTATCACCACTTCATTTTAGGTAGCCAGTGTCTAAGTTGCCCGTCCCTATCTATCCTGTGTACAGAGGGGATAGCATTGATACTTGATGTGAAGATGCCTTCCCTCTCTATTGGTATTTAGAGTTACCGCTTCCATTAGCATAGGTCAAGTTCATCAAACTGTAGTGATTTACACTCATTTCCTTTATCAAAAATAGTTTTGTTCTTTATTTTTTTAAATCTTCCTCTAGCCGACTCCATGGCACATAACAACAAAAACAACAGTCGAGTTCTGATTATCAAGCTATCGAGACTAAGTGAAATGGGTACTATCTGCAAGTTTGAGTGTTCTTGTGCAAATCCTCTCACTTCATATCAGCTGGATGCTTCACTCTCAGCTCTAGCCCTCTGTGGCTATGTCCTTGTCCATGGGCTCAGGTGTTGCCAGGTCTCCTATATTTTAACCTAACTCCTTCAAACCAAAAGGATCCCTGGTGGTCCAGTGGTTAAGCACTCAACTGCGTAAAGAAAAGTTGGTGGTTTAAACCCATCAGCTACTCCATGGGAAAAATATGTGGCCGTCTGCTTCCATAAAGATTATAGACTTGAAAACCCTAGGAGGCAGTTCTAGTCTATCCTATAGAGTCTTTATGAATCAACATTGATTCTACAGCAAAAGATTCTTCAATCCTGCAACCCCTCTAGCTACCTTCCTTCATTATTCTTAACTCTTTGAAAAGGTTTTCTGTAGTCATCGACAAACCAACTTCCCGTTCTTTCTACTGCCCATTCCAATTAATCTTTACTCTCTACCTGAAACTCTGGTCAAGGTCACCAGTGACTTCTATATTGCCAAATCCAATTGTCACTGTTTTGTCTTCAGTGTTCTTGATTTCTCAGGAGCATTTGTCAAAGTTGATGCCTTTCTATTGAAACACTCCTTTCCTTGGCTTCCTCCTTTTTAAATGACCTTCCTCTTTACCACTGTCTCTCCTTTTCATCTCTTGCATTGTCAAAGGTTGGAATGAAAACTCTGTTGTTGTTAGGTGCCATGGAGTCGGTTTTGACTCATAGTTACTTTATGCACAACAGATGGTTCTGCGCAATCCTCATTAATTTTTGTTACATCTGAGCACATTGTTGCTGCCACTGTGTGAATCCATCTTGTCAGGAGTCTTCCTCTTTTTCAATGACCCTCCATTTTACCAAGCATGATGTCCTTCTCTAGGGACTGGTATCTCCTGATAATATGTCCTGAGTATGAGAAATGAAGTCTTGCCATCCTGGAATCTAAGGAGCACTCTGGCTGTACTTTTTCCAACACAGATTTGTTTGTTTTTCTGGCATTCCATGGTACTTTAAATACTCTTCTTCCACACCTTAAGTCAAATGCATCATTCTTCTATGGTCTTTCTTATTCATTGTCCAGCTTTTACATGCATCTGAGGCAAATTACTCGGTCAGGCGCACCTTAGTTCTCAAACTGTTATCTTTGCTTCTGAACACTTTAAAGAGGTCTTGTGCAGCAGAGTTGTCTAGTACAATACATCATTTGATTTCTTGACTGCTGTTTTCATCAGTGTTGATTGTAGATCCAAGCACAATGAAGTCTTGGATAATTTCAATCTTTTCTCCATTTATCACAATGTAATTTATTGATCCAATTATAAGGATTTTTGTTTTCTTTACATTGAGGTGCAATTCACTTCGAAGACTATGTATGGTCTTTGATCTTCATCAGCAAGCGTTTTAAGTCCTCTTCTCTTTTTCAATAAGCAAGATTGTATCATCTGCATATTCTAAATTGTTAATAAGTCCTCCTCCATTCCTGATACCACGTTCTTCTTCATGTAATCCAGATTCTCAAATTGTTTGTTCAGCATACAGATTAAATAAGTATGGTAAAAGAATACAACCCTGGCATACACATTTCCTGACTTTTAACCAGTCAGTATCCCCTTGTTCTTTTCTAATATTCACTTTGTTAACTGTTCTAGAATACCCATTCTCTGCAATGTTATCCATAACTTGTCATGATCCACACAGTTAAAAGCCTTCATATACTCAATAAAGTACAAGTAAACATCTTTCTAGTACTATCTGCTTTCAGGTAAGCTCTGATATCAGCAAATGTACCCCCAGTTCCAGGTCTTCTTTCGAATCCATCTTGAATTTCTGGCAGCTCCTTGTTAATGTACTGTTGCAACAGTTTTTGAATTATCTTGAGCAAATTTTACTTGCATGTGATATTAATGATATTGTTTGATGATTTCTGTACTCTGTTGGATCACCTCTCTTTGTAATGGGTGAAAATATGTATCTCTTCCAATTGGTTTTCCAGGTAGCTGTCTTCTAAATTTCTTGGCATAGATGAGTGAGTGCCTCCAGTGCTGCATCAGTTAGTTGAAAGATTTCAATAGGTATTCTGTCAATTCCTGGAGCCTTGTTTTTCAGCAATGCCTTTAGTTCTTTCTTTAATACCATTGGTTCTCAGTCATAAGTTACCTCTTGAAATGACTGAACATCAACCATTTCTTTTTGGTTCAGAAACTGTATTCTTTCCATCTTCTTTTGATGCCTCAATCAATATTTTACACATAGAATCCTTCAATATTACAAGTCGAGGTTTGGACTTTTCCTTCTGTTCTTTCAGCTTGAGAAATACTGAGCATGTTCTTCTCTTTTGGTTTTTTAACCCCAGGCCTATACATATTTCATTATATAATACTGGACTTTGTTTTCTGGAACTGTTCTTTGAAATTTTTTTGTTCAACTCGTTTACTTCTTCAGTTCTTCCATTTACTTCAGCTTCTCTATGTTCAAAAGCAAGTGTCAGAGTCTTTGCTGACATCCATTTTGGTCTTTTCTTTCTTTCCTGTCTTTTTAATGACTGTTTGCTTTCTTTCTATATAATGTTCCTGATGTCACCCTACAACTCTTCTGGTCTTTGGTCTTTAGTGTCTAATGCACCAAATCTGTTCTTAGAAGATTGCTAAATTCAGGTCATATTTTGGCTCTCGTGTACTTGTTTTAATTTTCGTTAGCTTCAGCCTGAACTTGCATATGAGCAATTGATAGTCTGTTACACAGTCTGCCCCTGGTCTTGTTTTGGTTGATGATATTGAGCTTCTCTTGGAGTCCTGGGATGGTGCTGTGGGTTAATGTGCCAGACTGCAAAGCTGTTTGAACTGCAAGGCTGGTGGTTCAAGCTTATCAGCTACTCCTTGAAAACCCTATACAGGGTGGCTATGGGTCAGAACCAACATAATGTCACTTAGCAACAACAACAATTGGGCTTCTCTGTTATCTTTTCTTCCCACATACATAGTCAATTTGATTTCTGTGTATTCCATCTTGTGAATTTCATGTGTATAGTCACCTTTAGTTTTGTTTAAAAAAGATATTTACAACGAATAAGTCTTTGGTCTTGCAAAATTCTATTATGGCAACTCTAGCATCATTTTTTATCACCAAGGCCATGTTTTCCAATGACTGATCCTTATTGTTTCCAACTTTCACATTAAAATCACCAGTAATTATCAATGCATCTTGATTGTATATTTGATTAATTTCAGACTAAAGCAGTTGGTAGAATTCTTCGATTTCATCATCCCTGACTTTAGTGGTTGGTGAGTAACTTTAAAGAATAGTGGTATTAACTGGTCTTCCTTGTAGGTCAATGGATATAATACTATCACAGATAGCATTGTGCTTCTTGAAATGTTGCCTAGGGTTTGGCAATTGGTGTTGTTGTTTAGCCATCCAGTTGGTTCTGATTCATACTGACCCTGTATAGGGTGTCCGAGGATGACTTGTGGATTTGAACTGCTGACGTTACATTTTGTAGTTCAGTGTTTATCCCACAGCACCATTGGGAGTTGGCATAGGTTGACTGTTTCCTACCTACTTTTTCTGTAGAAAATCTCAGCTGTGTGCTTTTGAATGCCACCTCTATGCGAATGTCCCCCAATTTTATGTAAGTCTTTAAGGA